CTCCCGCCTTTTCCCACACTATTGTCTGTGTCCATTGGTTATGCATATAAGTTCTTTGGTTTATTTCTTCCCACCCCCCCCAACCCCTTTCCCTTTGAGGTTTGTCAGTCTAGCAATAAATTTGTACTTCTTAATCCCTTCACCTTTTTCACCCATTCCCCCAACCCCCTCCCATCTGGCAACCAACAAAGTGTTCTCTGCATCTATGAGAATGTTTCTGTTCTGCCTGTTCCTTTTGTTTGTAGATTCCACTGTCGATACATATGTATTCATTGCCATTTTGTTTGTTCATATATTTCATATTTTTCTTCAAAAAGACCCTTCATCATTTCATATAATGACGGTTTGGTGGTGATGAACTCCTTTAACTTTTTCTTGTCTGGGAAACTCTTTATATGGCCATCGATTCTAAATGACAGCCTTGCAGGACAGAGGAGTCTTGGTTGTAGGTTCTTGGTTTTCATCACTCTGAATATTTCTTGCCACTCCCTTCTGGCCTGCAAAGTTTCTTTTGAGAAATAAGCTGAAAACCTTATGGGAACTCCCTTGTAGGTAACTGTTTTTCTCTTGCTGCTTTTAAGATTCTCTCTTTGTCTTGAACCTTTTGCATTTGATGATGATGTGTCTTGGTGTGGGCCTCTTGGGGTTCATCTTCTTTGAGACTCTCTGTGCTTCCTGGAATTGTATGTCTGCTTCCTTCACCAAGTTAGGAAAGTTTTCTGCCATTATTGTTTCAAACAGGTTTTCAATTTCTTGTTCTCTCTCTTCTCCTTCTGGCACCCCCAAGATGCGAATGTTGGCACGCTTAAAGTTGTCCCAGAGGCTCCTTACACTGTCCTCATTTTTTTGGATTCTTTTTTCTTTTTGCTGTTCTGATTGTGCGTTTTTTGCTTCCTTATATTCCAAATCAATGGTTTGCTTCTTGGATTTATGTACTCTACTATTGAATCTGTGTAAATTATTCTTTATTTCAGTTAATGCCTCCTTCATTTCTGACTGTGTATTCATCATTTCTGACTGCCCTTTTTAATGCTCTTGAGGCCCTCACTAAGTTCATTGAACATCCTTATAAGCACTATTTTGAACTCAGGTTGTTTATCTTTATTTCACTTAATTCTTTTCTTGGGGTTTTGTTCTGCTCTTTCATTTGGGACCTATTTCTTTGTCTCCTCATTTTGGCTGCCTCTCTGTGTTTGTTTCTGTGTATTACTTAACGAGAGGTATGGGGCTATCTGAGACCAGATGCTGCGTGTTTGAAATAATTTAGGAACACCTGAAGCAGGATCCAAGCTAGGCCAATCCTATAGTTAAGCAACTGGCAACAGCCTGGGTGGGCCTGAAAGTTGATTGGGGCGGGGCCTCAGGGAGTCACTAGGGTGGGGCTACCAGTGTGAGCCAGGTTGCTGGAGTCCCAGATATGGCTTCTGTCTGCCGCCCCAGGGAAGGGCTCACCAAAGGAACAAAGGCCTCTGACAGCACGTTTGTCGAAGAGAAAGCCCCTTCTCCAGCCCTCGCTCCAATGCCAAACAGCCCAGTTCTCCCCTGTATGTCTCTGGTGCCCCTCGAGCTGCCTCCCCTCCAAGCTGAGAGGGAGAGAGTCCGACAAGTCCGTGCGCGGGCCCTTTAAGGAGCTGCCTGGGGCTCCAGCCGCTTCAGCTTCCCTGAGCCTCAGTTCCCGCTGGCTTTTCCAGCCAGAAGTTATGAGGACTTCTCTTCCTGGCACTGGAACCCTGAGTGGGGCACCTGGTGTGGGACGGGGACCCCTCAGTCCTCAGGAAGGACCTTCCCAGCCGCGGGAGCCTCCTGATTTTTATCCGCCACACGTGGGTGTGGGACCAGCCCGTCCGCGTCCGCCCCTCCTACCAGTCTCGATGTGGCTGCTGCTGTAATTCCGTAGTTGTAGGACTTCCATTCAGCTCGATTTCAGGCGGTTTTGAATGATGGTTGTTCTGTAGTTTAGTTGTAACTTTGATGTGGTTGTGGGAGGACGCTATCCCTCATTTACCTACGCCGCCATCTTGACCGGAAGTCTAGTAACATGTTCTAAAGACCACATTTTAGAGCTTACAGTGGTGTAGCTAATATATGGTAGAGCTTTACTCACACCCATGTTTTCTGGTTCTACGTTTAGTGCTACATTGGTGCTTTGAATTGTGTACATGCACACTCATACCCACCCATCCACATATTGTAAAGCAGTGAGAAAGCATCACCTTTAGTGATATAATGCTGAGTTTGAATTTTAGTACTGCCAGGTATGGTTCTGTTATGTGATAGACAAATTATGACATATTTGTGCTTCAGTGTTGTCGTCTGTAAAATGGGGATAATGTTATATGCCTTGCAGGGTGTTTGTGAGGATGAAATGAGATGTAGGCATTTACTGTTCAGCAAACAGTAACTTGTAGTTATTATTATGGTTGTCTTTATGTTATAGGTTAACATTGACTTTTCTTGTTCTGTAGCAGATGTGGTAATAACTGAAGATATCACTTATTTTAGTTCTTGGGACTTTTCAGTTAATCATAATATCCCTCTTGTGCCATAAACATTTGTTTTTCTACCAATTTCCTGTAACTCTGGGATTGGGAGGAACTGATCTTTTGCCACTTGTGAGTGATTTTTGCAATTTGACCACAGATAGAGATAACTCTGTTTTCCCTCCTGTAGCTGCCATAACAGATTACCACAAGCTTGATGGCTTAAAGCAACAGATTTATTATCTTACAGTTCTGTAGGTCAGAAGTCTGACACGGTCTCAGGGTGTTGACAGGCCAACATTCCTTTCTGGAGGCTCTAGGGAGAATCTGGTATTTGCTCTTTTCAGTTTCCAGAGGTTGCCTGTATTCCTTGGTTCATGGTCCCCTCCTTCCATCTTCAAAGCCAGTAATGTAATTATTTCTCTTGCCAGGCCTTCATCATTATATCTTTCTCTGACTCCTTTATCTCCCTTCTATCTACTTTTGTTTTTGTTTTTTTATCCTCACCCGAGGACATTTTCCCATATTTTGTTCAGGTAGAGTGGAAGGGAGAGAGAGGAACAGAGAGAGAGAGAGAGAGAGAGAGAGAGAGAAACATCAACGTGAAAGGGACACATCGAGTGGCTGCCACTCGCATGACCGACCAGGGCCGGGGACAAACTGCAACCGAGGTACGTGCCCTTAGTGGAATCCGAACCCGGATCTCTCTGGTCCGCAGGCCGCCGCTCTAACCGCTGAGCCAAACCGGCCAGGGCCCCCTTCTACCTTTTTAAGGACACTTATGATTACATTGGGCCCATTTAGAAAAAACAAGATAATCTCCTCATCTCAGGGTCAGCTGATTAGCAAGTTTCATTCCCCTCTATGTAGTTGTAATTTAGCATAATCACAGGTTTTGAGGATTAGGACATAGACATTTTTGGGGCGCCATTATTCTGCCCATCACATCTCTGTTCTCCACAAAAGACTCAGCTCAGTTTTAGCTTCAAAAATGAAGAAACATCCAGGGATGTTGTGCATACCTTTTTATACACTTGAAGTCTATTGATGTTGTAGTAGGAGGAAATAGGTATGACCTGGGTTTTCTAGACTTTACTGCTGCAGGCTGTGAGGATACAAGGGAGAGTAAAGGGGAAATCGTGAAGATCCTGGCCCTGGAGGGAGGCCCTTGGGTAAATATCACTGGTGTAATGTGGTATGATTAATACTTAGTCATAGGGATGTTTTATTTTCTATTTTTTTCTTAGCTTTTCTCTTACTTTTCTTTTCCATGACTTACTCTTTTGTTTGCAAAGTCAAAAAATATTTGTAGGACTTTGTGAATTTTCTCAGTATTTGTAATGATTTACAGTAGTCCTCCCTTACCCATTGGGATGCCCAGTAGATGCCTAAAAGCGCAGATAGTACTGAACCCTATATATACTATGATATTTCCTATACATATAGACCCACGATAAAGTTTATGGATTCTCTTTGGCATAGTCAAATTGCCAGCATCACTCTTATGCATTGGGGCCATTATTAAGCAAAATAAGGGTTACTTGACATGAGTACTGTGACACTGTGACAGTCTGATAACAGACAGCTACTAAGTCATTAACAGGCGGGCAATGTATATAATGTGGAGATGCATGTCCTGGGTGGGACTGTGCAAGATTTTACCATGCTACTCAGAATGGAGCATGATTTAAAACGTATAAATTGTTCATTTCTGGAATTTTTCATTGAATATTTTTGGGCTGCAAATGACCACAGGTAACTGAAACCACGGAAAGTGAAACTGTAATTAGGGGGAGTAGGGAGAGTACTGTATTTGAGTAATTTTAAAGTCTCTGAAGAAGAGAATCTAAAAATTAAAGCATAAATAATATCTATGCTTGAATCATTTTTCTAATTTATTGCTTGAGTTTGTTATTTTAATTCAATTTATTACTTGAACTCGTTTTCCCAGTTCAGTACTTCTTGCTGGTATCTGAAATATGTTACATGAACATATTTTCCTAAGTGAAAAGCTTAGTCTTTCTAGTCATTCATGCATTTGACCAATCAGCAAGTACTCACTGAAGCTTTACCTGGTGCCAGACAGGCCTTCTGCTTGGCTCTGGGAGCATATTGGTAAACTTGACGTGGAGCTTAGTCTAGAAGGGCTGTCAGCACATAGTAAACAAAGTGGGGATGACTGAGACTCAAACTACCATAAATAATGGAAGAACCTGCAACATTTTCCTTGTCTTTTTATGATTAATTGGCTCATGATTAAAAAAAATACTTCAAAATATTTTGGTGACATGACATTGACATGTAACTATAACTAATGTTTCTTCTAAAGTTTAGGTTGCTTTTTGAAATGAATTTTTAAGCAGGTGTCATTTCTTAAGCTTTTCTCAATATTTAGTGAAGTCAAAGGTTTGCTTTTTGGCAAAAGAAATTTCCAGTAACTGTTTCTTATATATAACATTCCTTAAGATGTTTCTAATTAAGGAATGCCTGACACTAATTTTCATGTTTGCTCTCTTTTAGGAATGTTTTAAAGGAAGTTGGGCTACTCACAAGTTACTACATAAGAAAGCAAGTAAGTGAAATCACACATCTCTCTGCCATATGTCTTAGAAGTGGCTGTTGTGCGAAAGAAGAATTCTTTCAGTTCTGAAGGTGTATCTTTGCATATTCAGAAAGTGCATATTTGAATATTCTGAGTGTGTAATCCAATAGCTAGAATTTGAACATATTTTTTATTCTTTGTGGTGTGTAATCATGTAAATAAAATGTGGCTGAGTAATCTTTGTTGACCTTATATTATGTGACATGAAAACATGAAATGGTTGCTGAAATAGATGGATCTTGCTTGAGCGATACCTGAGAATGTCTAGTCTTTTGACACCCTCTTTCCTTTGCTAGAAATGTTTGCACATTGTAGGCTGGGGCACATGAGCTATCCAGCTTCATTTTGCTGGATCTCCTGTTTTTTTTTTTTTTTTTCATCCTTACCTGAGGACACTTTTCCATTTTTTGTACAGATAGAGTGGGAGGGAGAGAGAGGAAGAGAGAGAGAGAGAAACATCGACGTGAAGGGACACATCGAGTGGCCGCCACCCGCACGACCAACCAGGGCCGGGGACAAACTGCAACAGAGGTACATGCCCTTAGCGGGAACCAAACCCAGCTCTCTCCGGACCGCAGGCCGACGCTCTAACCGCTGAGCCAAACCGGCCAGGGCGGATCTCCTGTTTTAGTTTAGCTTGAATTTTGATGGCTTTTCTACTCAAAAGATTATTACTTTGGGGTTTTAGTTACTTAATGTTATTTCTTGAAGTCTAATGTTTAATTTGCTCTTTTGAAGTTACTTTGTAAGACACCACAAAGTGAAACTATTGGCTCCTGCTTAGCCATTGCTGTGACCCATAGGGATGTATCTCCGATTGAAATGGCCTTTCCTGCTGTGGCCATCCATCTTGTAAATTCATGTCATTAGTGTGCTAGCTTAAGACAGGCAACCCATCACAATTACCTGAAAATTGACAAGGGGTTTCTGTTCTTACGGCGTTGCCATCCTGATGATGAAGGCTTGGCAGACCGCACATGATCCTTGGTATAAAGGTTCTTTTTCAGCTTACTGATCTTGGTATATTTTATTATTTTTCTACGTGTGTGTTTTTTTAAAAGGAATTTGCTGATGTAATAAAGTTCGGTAGATTGTTTCAATATCAACAGTTTAAAAAGATATTGTGTAAGGTTGTGTAAGGTGAAGTCTACATTTAATGGAAAGGCTAGGCTATTTTGGGAGGAAATGTGGTTAGAGAGAAGGAAAAATGACTGTGAAGAAATGAGTTTCTCAAAGCATAAATGACAGAATTTGTTACCTCAAATCAAATATAGAGATTGGTTTCAGTAATGCCATTTAATTTTATTCATTCATACATTAAATACTGTATTTCTAATGTGTTTGGTATTTTTAGAGCTCTTTGAGCCAGATACTAACATTTTATAATCAGAAAGTTAAAACAAGGTGAGTGAAGTGTTGAAGTGAAACGATATGTTAGTTCAAGAGCTTAGAATGGGTCTCTACCCCAAGCGTTTGCTAACTCGCTGAAGTGTGCCTGTTCAGTAGTAGGTTTCTAAGGGTAGAGTTATTTCATTAAGACCCATCCTGGAAGAGAATTAAATAGCTGGTGTGCCCTAAGTGCAAAGAACATAATTATTACTGCATTGAAATGAAGCTATTTGGGTTTTAGCTGTATAATAATGTTTAGTATGGTACTCTCTTGGATTTTCTGGGATGATTTTCTTCAGCCAGTGAGCCTAATATTGTTTTTTTTTTTTTAATCCTCACCTGAGGACATTTTCCCATTTTTTTGTTCAGATAGAGTAGGAGGGAGAGAGAGAGATAAACATCAACATGAAAGGGACACATTGAGCGGCTGCCACCCACACAACCCAACCAGGGCCAAGGACAAATGGCAACCAAGGTACGTGCCCTTACTGGGAACCGAACCCGGTTCTCTCTGGACCGCAGGTTGATGCTCTTAACCACTGAGCCAAACCGGCCAGGATGAGCCTAATATTGTTGATCCCTTTGAGCTGTGTTGGAGAGAGACAGCCCTCAGCTGGCCAGCCCTGTATCTTTTCCACTCTAATAAACCGATCCAGACTACACCATTGAGGATGACAGTCCTAGAGGAGGGAATGTCTAGGGAAGGGTGATCTCTGGAGCTAAGAAGAGTATTCTGAAAGGGATTTGGGGGAAAGAAGGTTGGGTTAGGAAGGAACAGGGCCCCATAAAAGAAAGCACCTTATTTCAAGAAACAGTGGTGAGATAACATATCAAGCAGCTTATGTCATGAAGATGCTATGCTTAGGCATTTACTTTTCTATTTTTTAACATGTAACGTGTACTGTTCTCTAATTATTAAGGATGCCTGATTTATATCTTTGCTTGTGTGGGATATTGGTTTGTAATTAGCTTTTAATATCTTTAACAGGTTTTGGCATTAGAGTAATCTTATTTCCAATAAAGTGGGGGAACTTTTTTCTTTTCTTCTGTTTTCTGGAAGAGATGATATAGACTTGGTATTATTTCTTCCTTGATGTTTGGTAGAATTCACCAGTGAAACCAAATGGACCTGGAGTTGTCTTGATTGCAGAAGCTAATCAGGCCTTAGGAAAATTTCAAGTGTGAGTTAAATAAATCACTCAAGGACAGGATTTATTTTGTGTGTGTCATAGTAAAGACTAGTTAGATTAAAAACCCTAAGAGGCACATAATGCTGATGCTTGAGTGCATATTTCCTATGCTGTATTTCCTGCCAGAGTGGACATGATAGCATTTGCTTTTTAGTCTGATCTGTAAAAATCGTAGCACTTCACATCTTAATACTCTATTATTTTAAACTCTTTTTATGTATCACTGATAGAATCAGTGTTTCTTGGACTCTCATTTCCTAAAGTAAGAAGTGGAAGCATTTGACATATGCCTTTTGAGTGGCTAAAAATATGCTATAAAAACTCCTTTTTAATATATTTTTTAATTGATTTTATAGAAAGAGGGAGGGAGAGGGAGAAAGAGATAGAAACATCGATGAGAGAGAACATTGATTGGCTGCCTCCTGCATGCCCCTCACTGGGGATTTGGCCCACAACCTGGGCATGTGCCCTGACCAGGAATGGAACTGGTGACCTCTTGGTGTGTGGGTCGATGCTCAACCAGTGAGCTATACCAGCCGGGCTAAAAACTCCTTTTGAAAAAAGCACCAAAATTAAGTGATCACTGCTCATCCCTCCGAACTAGTGTGCGTGGTTTTTGGATTGCAGAGGGAAGGCTCTGTGTAATGTTTCAGAGCTGGTTCCACCAAACTTTGCAAGCATGTATTACTTTGAGCTCCACCTTCAAAATGCTGAAAATTTAAGTCTGTTGTGAGGATTAAATGAACAAATCTATGTAAAGTGTGTAGCATATGTACAGTGTATAGTAAATGCTCCACAATTGTTTAATAGTCATTTCTGGAAGAACTGAGAATTGTGATCAGATGATCCCATCTTAGGCAAAGCTTAGATATATGCAGTTATATCATGTCAGCTGACTGGAGGAGGCAGCCTACACAGAACCTTTTATTATTATTTATTTCTTAATCCCCACCTGAGGATATTTTTTTTTCCATTTATCTTCAGATAGACTGGGAGGGAGGGGAGAGAGAGAGAGAGAGAGAGAGATAGAGAGACAGAGAAAAACACTGGTGTGAGAGAGACACACTGATTGGTTGCCCCTCGCACCGAGGACAAACTGCAACCGAGGTATGTGCCCTTGACCAGAATCTAACCCGCGACTCTTCGGCCCACGGACTGACACTCTGTAACCACTGAGCCAAACTGGCTTGGGCCTGCACAGAACCTTTTAAAGACTAAAGCCTGCATGGGATGTACTTTGAGCCACACTGTGGAATAACAGGTACTTTAAAAATATTTTTTTTCTTTATTGATTTTAGAGAGGAAGAGAGAGGGAGAGAGATAGAAATATCAATGAGTGAGAACATCAATCGGCCTCCTACGTGTCCCCTACTGGGGATCGGGCCCACAACCTGGGCATGTGCCCTGATTAGGAATCAAACCAGCGACCTTTTGGTGCATGGGTCGGCGCTCAGTCATTGAGCCACAGCAGCTGGGCAGTAGCAGGTACTTTTTGACACCACCTCTAGCTTACCTGCCTGTTTCATTCAGATGTTTGAGAGGCAACTTTCAAGTGTTTGTTTATACTGTCTGGTGCTTTTACAGCTTTTTGAAAAAGATCAGTCAGTTACCAACTAACTGATCTTTTACCAACCCCCAGTCCAATTCAGATTAATTAAGTGTACACTGTATATCTAGCACTTACAGCTCAGATAAAATTGCTTCTAAAATACAAATGAACTGACTTTTTAAAAAAATCCTCACTCAAAGATATTTTTCCATTGATTTTTAGAAAGAGTGGAAGGGAGGGAAGGAGGGCGAGAGAGAGAAACATCAATGTGAGAGAGACACAATGATTGGTTGCCTCCTGTATGACCCCAACCAGGGTTGGGGATGAACCTGCAACCCTGGTACATGCCCTTGACCAGAATTGAATCTGTGAGCCATCAAGTCAGCAGGCCAGAGCTCGAAAGGCTGAGTCACACCTTAGCCACACTGGCCCGGGGCTAAATGAACTGACTTTTGAAATTTATTCGAAAAGAACTTGCCATATTTCAGTCTCATCCAGGAGCCTTTGGGCTTGGAAGCTTTGAAATATTTTATTATCATTATTTTTGGCAGTTTTTATTAATTTATTATTGTTAGAGATGTTTCTCCTTTTTTCCCCATTGACACCCTCCTCCTGTCGTCCCCCCCCCCCCCACACACACACACTTTGAAAGATTTTTAGATCCTTCCTTCTCCTTGCTCTCCTCCCCAGGAGTATGTTAAAGCAGAGCACCTGCATCTTGATTGTTAGTCTGTCCCAGGTTGCAGGTGAAAATTATTCTTGAGATTCATATTTCGGACAAAAGCAATTGATGCAGTTCATAGTGGAAGCAGGCATCAGTGGGCCTACATTTCTTATTACTGTCTCTAGCGTTTGACCCCATGGCAGTGAATGCAGCCCAGTTTTGTCCTGGGATGGAGACAGTTTTCCTGTTGACATTAACATTCACAGTGGCTTTCTTAACGCCAGAGGGGAGAAAGATATTTAAAATTCAGTAGCAGAGTAGAGCTTTTCTTTTGTCTTTCCACTCTCATGCTTTTCAGTTCCTTTACTTTATATGTAGTAGTATAACTGTGTTTTCTTTCAGAGTAATGTGAATGGATTGGTGATGGGAACCCCCTTACCTCAGTTTCCTCATCTATAAAACGAGGAAATTTGCCTAGATTGTCTTTTTGTTGTTTTTGTTGACTGTAGTCACTATGCTGTACATTCCTTCTCTAGAACCTATTTCTTATAACTAGAAGTTTTACTATTTGACTACCTTCTTCCATTTTACCATTCCTCACTTGCTTCATATGATATGATTTCATCTCTTCTTCCCCCTTTCATATTTTAAATAGATTTTTTTAAAGGAGGAGTTTTATTTTTCTCATACACTTCCAAAATTATGTGAAGCATGACTTTCAAAATGTGTGATAGCATGACAACAATGAGGAAAAGATAGGTGTGCCTTGGGAGGTATATAGGTCAATACTCAGGGATTTGAATTTTTTGCTATTTAAGTCCTATGTAGTTGTTTATTTTACATTATAGATAGAGGTGCAGTCAGTTTGCCAATGTGGGATAGCATAGGGGTCTGTTCTGTGTGAAAAGGATTCTTAGGTGCATTTCAGTAAGTACAACATTAGGCATTAATAGCGAACCTGATAAGGTGTATGTGTGTGCTTCTTACATTTTTCTACTGAGTTTTCAGTAACTTTCTGTTGATTGTTCCCTGCCCTTATCTTTACCTTTTTCTACCTACTTCTGTCACCCCTGTCCTGGAAAAAAGCAAATGATGCTCATAAAAATTTTAAAGCAATTTGAAATATTGACTTGAAATATTCATCAGCTAAGTGGGAAATTTTTATTTTTTTTACTTTAAGTTTGCTTTGGGGTTATTTAGAATCTGTTCCTTTAGTATGAGCCCAGAATTCATTTGTAATACCTGCTCTCAGAAGTTTTGTCTAGGCTCAGATTTTACATTTCAAAATGGGCTTCCTATAAATTGATACTGGAGAGAGTCTACATTAACATTTACTTGAGAAAGGGGTTCTACTATTAGCTGTTCCTAGTCGATAGTGTATACAAATATACAGTATGACTAGCTTGGGCTGTTTCTCACGAGACAGATCTTTCAGGTATCATAAGATTGTGAACAAAGCAAGAAAGCAGTAGCTTTGATGATACAGGCGAAGGTGGGAGTTTGCTGGATTTTTGTGCCTGGGCTCTTTGGTGTGCTGTTCAAATAAATGACAGTTAATGAATGCTGTTGAAGTATTTCTTTCTTTCTCTCCTTTTCTCTCATCCATCCATCTATCACGCAGAAGATGAAAAGGCAAAGCGAGAAGTGTCTTCCTGGACCCTAGAAGGTGATATTAACACTGACCCATGGGCAGGTTATCGATACACTGGTAAACTCCGACCACATTATCCACTGGTGAGTAAATAAGGTAATAAACATTTAACATTCTTTTAAACCAATTTTCCGCTTACTAAAAATTATACCTGTGTTTTGTACTTTAATATGAATCATATAATCAGGATTAAGTTTGCATTCTAGCTCTTCAGTTTTTATGGTACATTATTTGGAAGTTAAGAGGGATAATTGGCAGTCATGGAATAAGTAGAAAAAAAATTCAGATGAAAGGATTAAAACTTCTTTAGTCTTAAAAAGGAAAGTGGTAGAATAGATATTTTCTGACTGGCATGATGGTAGTGTATATTACTACTTTTCTAGAATTTTTTAACGTGATCTCTTTCAGCCTTGATTTTGATATGGCTTTCCTGCTACTCCCACCCCTTCCTGTGGTCTTGTCAGATGGGCTTTAGAGTGTTCACATAGGAATACATTTAAGTTGTAATCTATTTGTCGTCCATCAATATATATATATTTAATTTTACTGGTTTTTAAAAATAAAATGAATACATCTTTAATTTTAAAAATTTGGACAAATGTCAACAATATAAGAATATCTTTTTAATTCTAGCTCTCAGAGCTAATGATGAACAAAATGGTGTGTGTTAGAGATATTATTTTATTGTTGTTGGTTTGCCAGTTTGTTTGGAACAACATGATACCTTGTTATCTGCGTAGGGTGTTAAGTCCTTATGGCCTTGGCCACTCTCCCTTATATGATACTTAAGTGGCATTAGCACTAGGAAAATGAAGCTTAATCCTCATGTAATAGATAATTGTGATTGATAATTAAGATGTCACTGAAAACTTTTTGTCACTTAAGTGAAACTTTTTAGTATGTTTTTTCCCATTTTTGTTTCCTTTGTTAGTAAATTTTAATAGTGAAAGTTGCTTTCATATTTGAATTGGTTTTAACTGATATACATCTTTGATGTTTCAGATGCCAACAAGGCCCGTGCCAAGTTATATTCAACGACCAGATTATGCTGATCACCCTTTAGGTAAGTTCTGCTATGCTGGTTTCTTCTTTTGGAGAAAATTTTCAGTGCTGGATTTCTTTTTGTTTGTTTTTTGTTTTTGTTTTAGTGCTGGATTTCTAATAAATGTCAACATGGCTTTTTAAGACACATGGAAACATTTGAGAGAATTAAAGGTTCTTTTCTTCCAAGAAATCTATCCAATTCTGAAAACATTGTTTAGATGTTAAGACTATATTCAACATAATAATTATATTTTGTATTGTTATATCACATTCTAGATTAAAAACCCATTTTGATTTTAACATGTCCCCCTACTTTAATGAAATAATATGTATTGAGATAAAAACAGATTGTGGAAGCCTCAAATGAATACCTAAGTGCAGACTGGACTGTAATAACAGAACTAGTAGTAATGGTGATGATTTTAGCAATAATGATGATAATTCTAGAACTGATATTTTTTTCATAACTATATGTCAGGCACTGTGCTAATTTCTCACATGTTACTCATGGGGTGGGTTATGTTGCCTTCTCCATTTTATAGGTAATGATAGTGAGACCTCCAGAGAAGATAGGTAATTTGCAACGCTTAGGGCCTGTAGACATAACTTAAGTTGAATTATGTGAAATTACTGATTTTGCTTGTCAAAAATGGTTGAATAACAGAATTCTCATGTGGTTTAATATGTTAAGATAAGCTGCCTTTGCTTTATTCTCTAAGAAGTGGTGAACCATATTACAGTTTTAGGAATGTAATTTAAAAATTATTTAAACTTCACTATTTCAGATGCATTGAAGGAAAAAAAGAGTCTGAATGATAGATAGCTCTTGAGGATGTATAATCTCATTACTCTGTATTTAATATTTTTAAATGTAGTTTTAAAAAAATATACAGACATGGTAAATTCTGATGGCATAAAATGTTACAAAGTGAAAAGTAAGTCCTACTCCCCAGAGGTAGAATCACTATTAACAGTTTCTTGCAGAACTTTTCAGAGATATATTATGTATGTACACTCATCAGCCCTTCACCTCAATTATACACAGTAGGATCAAGCTATGTATACTTTTTCACCTTCTTATATTCTCTTAATAGATCTTGCAAACATTCTGTATAAGCCCATAAAACGACTTTCTTTTTAATGACTGAAGTATTTCATTGTGTGGGTTTATCATCATTTATTAAGCCAGGCTTCTCCTACTAATGTATGTTTAGATTATTTCCAGGTTTTTACTTCTTTTACTATTCTTGCATGTGAGAGTATTTCTGTAGGTCAGTTGCCTAAGAGTAAAACATGAGATCGAAGAATAAGTGCATTTTTTATTTTGAAAGATATAACAGATTTTAGAGAGTTTGACAGTTGCTTATTCCATTAAAAATATATAGGAGTCTCTTTTTTCCTTTATCTTCCCAAACATATGTTACTTTATGAATAAAGTTACTTCAAACTTTATGAATCGTGCTAATCTGAAAGATGAAAGATGGTATTTTGCTGTTATTTTAATTTGTATTTTTAAATTATGAAGAAGGTTGAACATCTTTTTATACATCTGTCTATTCATCCATAGCCTTTTATTTTTCCAATTAGGTTACTAGTTTTTTTCAATACTGATTTATAAGCATTCTTTCTGTACTAAGGAAAATAGTCCTTTGATGTGTGTGCTATAAATGTTTTTTTCAATTGAAAATTTACATCTTGTCTTTGTTTATAGCATTACATTAATGACAAACTTGCAACATTTTTCTATAATAAAATTTATTAGTATCTATAGCTTACTGACCTGGGAAGACCTTTTTGGTTCCGAGGATATTATAAAACTATTTTCCTGTATTTTTTTTCCACTATTTTTATGGTTTCACTCTTTTAATGTGTGATAACATTTTTATTTATTGTTAGTAATTAAATATGGATGCAGCTTTATTTTTTCCCCTGATCTGGTTGTCACATTACTAGTTATTTAAAATATGTCCTTTTTTTTCTGATTTAAAATGCAGCCTATACAAGTCTTGGAGTCTGTTTTTGGATTCTATTCTGTTTCATTAACTCATTTGTCTAATCATGTGCTATTGCCAAACTCTTAATTATTACAGCTGTATAATGTTTTAATGTCTAGTGGGCCTTGTTGCCCCCACCTTTCCTCTTTTTCAGAATATTCCTAGTTATTCTTGCATGTTTGTTTTTCCATGTGAAATTTGGAATTAGCTTGTCCCCAAAATATCCTGTTACCATTTTTTATTGGGATAGTATTAAATTTATAGATTAATTTTGGAAGAATTGGCTGCTTTACAATATTGAGTCTTTCTGTCCAAGAACAGGGTATGTTTTTATATTTTATGTAAGTTTCCTTTTATGTTTTTAGTGGTAGTTTAAAATTTTCTTCATTAGGCCTTTAAGTTTATTTCTGGATACTTTATCTTTTTTAGTTATTCTTGTAAATAGTATCTTCTATATTTTCTGGCTCATTGTTTGTATATGGGAAAGTTACTGATTTTGACATATTTATCTTATAATCTGCCATCTTCCTAAATTCTTATTTCTAGTCATTTACCAGGTATCCCCTTATTCTGGGGACATATAATCATATCTGAATATACCTGCTAATACTGTCAGAATGAAGTTAAATAGTGTTGCTGATAGTGGGTATTCCATGATGTGGGTTCTTGGCTTGAGATTTATATTTGTCACACCAGCCATGTTATCAGAATTATCTTTCTAGATGATCATTTTTTTTATCCTCATCCGAGGATATTTTTTGCATTTATCTTTAGATAGAGTGGGAGAGAGAGAGGGAGGAAGAAAGAGAGAGAGAGAGAGAGAAACATTGATGTGAGAGAGACACATCAAGTGATTACCACCCACACAATCCCAGTCGGGGCCAGGGACAAACTGCAACCGAGGTACATGCCCTTAGCAGTGGTTCTCAACCTGTGGGTCACGACCCCTTTGGGGGTCGAACAACCCTTTCACAGGAGTCGCCTAAGACATAACAGTAGCAAAATTACAGTTATGAAGTAGCAACGAATATAATTTTATGGTTGGGGGTCACCACAACATGAGGAACTGTATTAAAGGATCGTGGCATTAGGAAGGTTGAGAACAGCTGCCTTAGTGGAAACTGAACCCGGGGCTCTCTGGTCCACAGGCTGACACTCTTAACTGCTGGCCACACTGGCCAGGGCTCCAGATGATCCATTTATTTATTTTTTCCTTCTTTATCTATGGCTATGATGAATTATATGAATAGATTTGTTAATAGTGTATCTTTCCACTTACATCATGGTGTACTACATATATTTTGGATTCTGTTTAATATTTTAATTGGGATTTAAAAAAATTTTTTTTTAATTGATTTTAGAGAGAAAGGAAAGGAGGAGAGAGAGAGATAGAAACATCAATGAGAGAGAACATCGATTGGCTGCCTCCTGCATGCCCCCAACTGGGTATTAGCCCCACAATCTGGGCATGTGCCCTGACTGGGAATTGAACTGGTGACCTCTTGGTGCATAAGTTGATGCTCAGCCACTGAGCCATACTGGCCGGGCTAGTTGGGATTTTTATATCCACATTTATTTAAAAATAGTTTATGGTTTGTTACATTCTTTTTGTCTGATTTCGAAATAATTATTATACTGGCTCTGATATTTTTAAATATATGAATAATTCAAGTTAAGATAATTTTATTAATGAAGATTTTTAGGGCAATGTTTTTCAAAATTTAAGTATTTTTTACTGTAATCCAGAGTGAGAAATATTATTTTATAATATGATCTGTGTGTATGTGTGTGTGTGTGTGTGAATTAACAATCACCCTTTCACAACAGCACTTACCCTACCCTATGTATGATATACTCTATTATTTTCTATTCCATTTATTTACTTACGGGTTACACCAGCTTGTAAAACACTGACTTAGGTTCCTATATAAAAGAATAAATGTGTGCCCTGGCCGGTTTGCTTAGCGGTTAGAGCGTCGGCCCATGGACCAATGAATTGCGGTTTTGATTCCAGCCAAGGGCATGTACTTCAGTTGTGATTCATCCTCTGCCCTGGTTGGGGTCCTGCGGGAGGCAGCCACTCGATGTGTCCCTTTCACGTCGATGTTTCTCTCGCCCCCCACTCTATCTGAACAAAAGTGGGAAAAAAGTCCTCGGGTGAGGATAAAAAAAAAAAAAAGAATAAATATGTGAAATTAATTCATCAGTTGTTGGTGTACAATTTCATTATGAGAGGATGATCATGAATGCAGTTTGTAAATTGTGTGGTGCTATTCAAGTGTGAATCATTTACTGTCTTTCATTAGCACATTGCCTTGTCAGATAATAAGTACTCCGTATTGACGGAATTCTAATAGATCTGTACATTTGTTCTTTAGCAAATTTCCCTTTCATGTTGACAATATTTAAAAAAAAAATTCGACCTGAATTCTTCTAAATTATGAAATAGCATTGTGTGAAATAGTGAAACTTGACTGTTAATAAGTCATCAGGGAGATAATTATACCTAATACTACCTCTTTCTATTCATTTGGTTTTGCTTACTGGTTTTTCTTTCTAGGAATGTCTGAATCTGAACAGGCTCTTAAAGGTACTTCTCAAATTAAATTGCTCTCATCTGAAGATATAGAAGGGATGCGACTCGTATGTAGGGTAAGAGTTTTTTTCCTCATGAGATAGGACACCTTTCAGCAGTTATTAGACATAAAGGCAATGAATTGTTGATTTAGAAAAGGTGGATATGTTCTGATGGAATGCTGTGACTAGCCATGCTTACTTTTCATTAAACTTTTGTTAGTATATAATTCTGTGCAACATTTGTTTTCTACTTAAATAGCCTATTTGAAAATTAATATGGCAAGTATATTTAGTTGAGAGTCTATTTCTGTTACCCCTTAAGTTATTTTTTTAAGAATCAAGTTTTTATGACATTCTGTCATTTCATTTCCACAAGCCATTATAATTTAGGGCAGATTTTAGGGCTTAAAGTTAAGCAAAAGCTCCTGTTGCGAAATACCTATGCAGTGGGATATTAGTGGCTGATACTTACTAAGAGATGTCACATGTTCACATTTTTCTAAGGAAAAAATTGAAGAATTGCTATTGTTTATTTAGAAATGATCCTTAAAGTTGTTTTTTTTTTTTGGTACGTGCCCCTAGCAGGAACCGAACCCGGGACTCTATGGTCCGTAGGCTGATGCTTCAACCGCTGAGCCAAACCGGCCAGGGCCCTTAAAGTTTTTATTCAGTGCTTAAAAGTGATTTGGTACCAATTTTCTTTGATAATCTAGATATATTTGTGTTTCTATCACTTATGTGCTATGATTTTTTTTTGAGGGAAATCATTTATCTGTACTTTTATTTCTCTCCCATCCCTTCCTTTTCCATTATAGAAATACGACAGGACTCAACCTCTACCAGTTGATCATTGTTTAGACTGCTTAAGATGTTCATTTGCACATAGAAATAAGTCAAACTTAGATATTAAGCTATTTACTAGTTAGCCCAATTTTATTTATATATTTACACACACATTTATTGATATGCATTAGAAATACAAATGGTTTTATTTATTTAGGTAAAAAAATTTATTTTTTTTGTTTGTTTGTTTAGAGAGAGAGGTAGGGAGAGATAGAAACATCTATGTGAGAGAGAAACATCTGTTGACTGCCTTCTGCACGCCTCCTACTGGGGATTGAGCCTGCAACTCCGGCATGAGCCCTGACTCAGAATCAAACTGGGACCTCTCAGTCCACTGGACGATGCTCAATCCACTGAGCCGCACCAGGCTGGACTTTTTATTCTTGAAGTAAAAATGGTTTTAATATGGAGGTTCAGTATTATAACATTCAAGGTGAGATGCGCTATGAATCTCTCTATGAAAATCTGTAATAGTGCAGAGGGTACAGATTTCTATTGTTACTTCATTTCTTCTTGAATGTATTCAGAATTTCTCTTTTACAGCTTGCTAGAGAAGTACTGGACATTGCTGCTGGGATGATTAAACCAGGTGTAACTACTGAAGAAATAGATCATGCTGTACACTTAGTAAGGGCTTCACTTTTATGTTTTGAATTTTTTCACATTATTTAGTGTTTTAGACTTCTAAAAATTAAGTAAACTTAAGTTCTGAATGTCTAAAGTAACTTGACTAAACTAATTTAAAAGCAAATTTTTACTTTGTTTCAAATATAGAAAATATTCAGCAGTCATTATTCCCATCTTTAAATGCCTATGAAATACCTTGTTTCTGAAACCTCACATTTTGTAACGTTTTAGATTTTATAAAGTAATTAATTTTACTAGTGCTTGAAATAAACCATGCCACTACATGCATCGACTATTCTGAAATAAAAAGAATACAACTTCTGAAACTAGATTAGTGGGAAAAAATCTTTCCCTTTCATACCCCTGGTAACAAGGCAATAAATAGACCAGATACAGGGTGGGGCAAAAGGAGGTTTACAATTGTGAGTGCACGAAACAGTTTATTCCTGTATTATTATCTGTTTATTACTGTATTTTCCGTACAAACAACTGTAAACCTGCTTTTGCCCCACCCTGTATTTGTAGTAAATATGATATATGTTTTTTTATAAAGATTGTCTATCCATCAAAGGGAGACCTTAAAACCCTATAGTAGATGAACGCACACATTATATGAATCAATTGTTCACAAAAGAATAAGAACTAATCATGGAAAACTAATTAAACTTGCTTTAGTCATTAAACAAATGCAAATTATGAAGATCTACTGAGTTATTAAGTATTTTTTAAAATGTTGGCATCCATTTGCCTATGTGGGGTAATGAAATATGGTGGTGGTTTTACTGTAAATTGGATCAACCCTTTTGGAAGGAGATTTGACAATGTATCTTGAGCATAAAAATGTTTTTAAAGACTTTATGTTTAGAATTTTATAAATCCTGATTTTTGGTTATTATTCCATATGTTATAAAATATGTAGTATGTAGTAATAGCACTTTGAGTACTTCCATGGGCCAAGGGCTCTTTAACATGCTTCTTTTACTAGCTTATTTATCTCTGTGAGATAGATACTGCTAGCATCTCCATTGTATAGGTAAGGAAACTGAGACAGAGAGAGGTTAACTTGCCTAAGGTTATACAAGTTGTGATGGAATTGGCATTTTTAGTCAAGACAGTCTGCTGTAAGAAATAGAGAAGTGCCTTGTTAAGCAAGGGAAAAGTGATAGGTGTATAGTTATTGGCAAGGAGTAATACTTTTTGTAATTCAGGAAACATTTAAAATTTCCAATAGTAGTGTAATTGTCAAGATTATTGTGTACTGTAATGTGCAACTACTTAAAAATTGTTAGTAATACGGAAAGAAAAATTATATATACTATGACTGCCATTGTGTGAAAATATTAGCAAAATAGGACTTGTTATGTAAAACCTGACCATTTTCTTAGAGGTTTCTTTGTTTTTTCACATGAATGTAGTGAGTAAAATGTCTCTGGAAGGACTTTAGCTCTTAATTATATGGGTATTCATTTTTTAGTCATAGGGATATAGGCTAGTTTCTATATAAGAAATTATAATTATATTAAAAGTGCATGTTAATATTTACTTTAAATACTATCTTTTTACTGGAAAGGATACATTTTTCCAAAGTAGTTAATTCTAAACTAGAATCTTCATATTTGTAATACATACATTTGATTTTCCTTTGCTATTATCAGTAAACTGGTTTTGCCTACAGTCTGTTGTATACTGTGTAAAATAAGTGCTGCTATTTCTAAAATAAAATATTGACCAAATTCTTCATAAAGAGCATCTACAGAACAAATATCACAGTTTTCAAATTTTTAAATCTAGTTAATTGTGTAAGATTAATTTTTTCTTTTGCACATTCCAAATTATTTTCTCTGTATTTTAATTTATTGTAGGCATGCATTGCAAGAAATTGCTATCCTTCTCCCTTGAATTATTATAATTTCCCGAAGTCCTGTTGTACTTCAGTGAATGAAGTGATCTGTCATGGAATTCCAGACAGACGGCCCTTGCAAGAAGGTGATATTGTTAATGGTATGTGTGACTTTTGTCACCACGAGCAAAGAAACATCAAGGTTTGGGGAGCCTGATAGTGACTTGTGTTTTCTTGCTTCCTGTCTTTACCTCATCCTTTTTTTATATTTAAATGTTAAAATCTTAAATCTGTGGAAACATTTTTTATGGTTTTAAGATACTGCTTTTAAGATACTTCTAGTATGATGCATTTGGTACAGCATGTGTTTCTTTAACGCAGATTATCATGTGTGATCGGTAAATAGGTGAAAGATGTTAGTGAAATGCAGGAGTAATGTTGATTCGACTGGGAACTTTTTTGCATTTTCTTTTAGTCTACTAATGTTTTGAAGAGCTCAGGGCAGGCTTTCTTATAGATAAAGAGAAATCCTTAGTAACATATGAAGACCTTCAGGAAAAAAGCTAAAAATCCTGCAGGAGTGCCTTCCTTGATGGAAGAAGTTAAGCTGTCCTGGGAAGCTGCAAGTGCAGAGGGAGAAGCTGCCAGAAATTTTCCTCTGATTAAAAAAGAAAATGATGAAGAAGACTCCCTAGATGGTATTTTTAATATTGATGAACTTGGTCACTTTAGTAATCTGGCATCTTCAGGGACCTACATATCTAATGAGGAAGCATGAACCCAAGTGTTAAAGGCTACAGAGAATGCACCGACTGTGATGCTGGCTGGGAAGGATAATGGAGACACTTTTTATTTGGATTGTTATTGCTTTCTGTTCATAGGTTTTGGGTATCTGTTAGGGTATCTGTTCATAGGTTTTGAGGGGTCTCCCGATCCCTGTTTTTTGTATAAATCCTGTTATTTATTATATGCATAATGTGTGAGAATTTTCAGGAATATATGTATTGTGCTAGAGCTAACACACCTGTACTGTGATATTGTGGATTGATTGAAAACTCATGTTTTAAAAATACTCATTTAGCCCTGGCCGGTTTGGCTCAGGGGTTGGAGCGTCGGCCTGCGGACCAGAGAGTCCCGGGTTCGGTTCCCGCTAGGGGCATGTACCTCCCCCCAAAATAAATAAAAATACTCATTTACGGTGCCCTTTAGTTTACATGTAGTGCATTATAATGGTATAGTAATAATCTGTATTCTTTTTTTTTTAATCTTCACCCAAGGACATTTTTCGATATTTTGTTCAGATAGAGTGGGAGGAGGGGAGAGAGAGAGAAAGAGAGAAACATCGACATGAAAGGGACACATCAAGTGGTTGCCATCCACACGACCCAACCATGGCCGGGGACAAATTGCAACCGAGGTACGTGCCTTTAGCAGGAACCGAACCCGGGTCTTTTTAGACTGCAGGCCAATGCTCTAACCGCTGAGCAAAACCGGCCAGGGTGTAATCTGTATTCTTATTTTTTTATTTTTTTAATCCTCATCCGAGGACATTTTTCCATTTTTTTTTGTACAGACAGAGTGGGAGGGAGAGAGAGGAAGAGAGAGAGAGGGAAACATCGATGCGAAAGGGACACATCGAGTGGCTGCCACCGCACGACCAACCAGGGCCGGGGACAAACTGCAACCGAGGTACATGCCCTTAGCGGGAACCGAACCCGGGCCTCTCCGGACCGCAGGCGGACACTCTAACTGCTGAGCCAAACCGGCCAGGGCTAATCTGTATTCTTAAACATGGGGACAAAGAGAAGGATGAATATTCACAAATAAGTCAAAGGCAAACAAATTTTTGAAAAATAAGTGAAGAATAATGTTTTTCTGTTTATTGATTCACCAGGAGGAGGAAAAACTGGTTGAAGATAATAAGTATTTTCTGTTTAATGTCAAATGTAGCAAAGTCTTTCTTTTAATTGCATTAACTCAGGTTATTGATCTTGCATATATGTATCCTGGATGCATTTTTCTTTTGCTATAAAATATCTAATCACTACTATAAGAGTATATAAAAGCCCACCATCTGACTCGTGCTGTGTGACCATGTCTGTGTTCTTCACGATGAGTTTAGTTGTATTATAGATAAGGAGTGTCTATCAGGCAGTAACTGTATATCCATTAGGGTCTAATTTGAGAATGCAGACATTATTTTTCTCATTAAGCTGCTTAATGCTGTTATGTTGGAGAAACGACTTCAATTTTGAAATAAAAACAAATGTGCTCTTTATTTTCACACATTCCTTTGCAGTGGACATCACTCTTTATCGCAATGGTTATCACGGGGACCTAAACGAGACGTTTTTTGTTGGAGATGTGGATGAGGGAGCACGGAAGCTGGTTCAGACCACGTATGAGTGCCTGATGCAAGCCATCGACGCAGGTCAGCCAGTGCTGGGCGCCTGCTGGAACTTCTGTGCTGATGGTTTTGAATGACTTGTCACTGCACTGGGCATTCCTGTCCCTGCCCGCCTTGCCTCTCCCCTAGCTGGTTTGAGGATGGACTGAATGATTGCTTATCATCTTTTGTCTCACCTGTGATTTATCTTTCTTTGGCTGATAAATGAGGAGGAAAGTATGGAATGTTTTTGAGTAAAATTTTAATTTTCTATTTTTTATTTATTATTTTTGTACTTTTTTTTATTGATATTAGAGAGAGGGGAAGAGAGAGGGAGAGAAAGATAGAAACGTTGATGAGAGAGAACATTGATTGGCTGCCTCCTGCATGCCCCCCAGAACCTTAGCTAGATTCCCCAGGAGTCTGGCAGGGCCCAGTGTTAGGGGCCTTGGTGCTAGGTGAACTGTAACAGCAATGAGAACCACTTCTTTTGTTTTAGTTTTTATTGAAACAGAAGTAAAAGTCACAAAAATTAAATGAGGTAGGAAGTGTATACTAGTGAGAAGTACCTTTCTATACCTTACCCTCAGAGGCAACTCTCATGGGGATAAAGAAGCCCCGAGGAAGTAATTTGATAAGTTGGTGAGACTGAAATGCCGGACAAGTCATTACTTTTTGGACATTCCTTTTTCTCTGGTGCTCTTTCCTCTTATCTCTTCTGCTCACTTACTAGAATAGCACACTAAATGAAAAGAGAGGAAGAGAACTGTTTCCCCTTCTCTTGTTCATTCAGAAAGCAAAAGGTGCCTCCCCCCATTTACTGTATGCGTGGGGTCCTTTCCAGCATCAAAGGAGGAAGTACAGTTGCTACTGTTTGAATCGCCCCTTTGCCATTTACTGCCAGAAAAGCCTCTCTGTGCCTCAGTTTCCTCATCTGAAAGTTTCAGCATGTAGGCCAATAAAGCATTCAGAAAGATTCCCTGGCACATTGATACTAATTGCTTAGTAAATGTTAGTTATTATTAATGTTTCGTATGTCTTCTCTTTCCCTTTTAGTGAAACCTGGTGTTCGATACAGAGAATTGGGCAACATTATTCAGAAGCATGCCCAAGCAAATGGCTTTTCAGTTGTTCGGAGCTATTGTGGGCATGGAATCCATAAGCTTTTTCATACAGCCCCCAATGTACCCCACTATGCCAGTAAGTACTGTCCAAAGACTTGGTATTTGCTAACCATTTATTCAACAAATATTTATTCAAACATTAACAGGGCCTGCTGTTTTGTATTTATTAGAGTAATTTATTAGCTGTTATAAGTAGACCCTCAAAGTGTATATTTGCTCAAACACAATACATGTTTATACATTCATTTTGTTCACATAACAGTCCAACGCACTGTGGGGGGTGGGGGGCAGTTATTCTGTGGCCTAGGCTCTGTCATTTCCAATTTCAGCTTTCAGGATCACTTTGGGAGTTGCCCTTCTAATCTGTAATTATTGGGGCAGAAGGGGAGGAGCTTGGAGGGGTACACTTGGGAGATTCTAATGAGCCAGCCTGGAATTGGGATAATCACTTACATTTACTTTTCATTTGCAGGAATTTAGTCACATGGCTACACTAACTGTAAGGGAGGTTAGTATTGTTACCTAGCTGAGTACTCTGGAAAAAAGTAAATTAATTTTGGTGAATAGCCAACAGTCTCTGCTACATGTTTAGCCATCACTTGAGTTCTTATTAGTGTATGTCAAATTTTGTACTATTTGTTGGTATACGTGAGGGGAATAGGCAAAGTACCGTTCCTCAAGTTGAGTGCTGTCTGATAGAATGACAAAGGAAGTGTAGAACAATTAATATCTTCCAGAAAATATTTTTCTTGGAAATATAAGACATGCAGGAATAAGTCTTGTTATTTGGTGCTGTAAGTGAAAGCTTTTCACAATAAGGGACCCAAGAAGGAATTTTAGCAATTATGTAAGTGGGCCACTGCTACATAGATACTTTCACATATGTCCTTGTGCTTAAGTTTTCTCATCTCTACAATAGTAGGGAATGGCTGGCACCTACCCTAGAACTGTTATCAGGATTAAGTGAGATATTAGTACATGGAAAGCACTTAATGTTAACTTTCAGAATGGTGATGATGATGACATGCATAATCTCAGTGATTGGTCATGTCACATCTGATTGGTTAATTCTTGGTACCAGAAAACCTTATATACAAGTATAGGTACTTGATGTTTTAAAAAGTCACTTGGGCCCTGGCCGGTTTGGCTCAGTGGTTAGAGTGTCAGCCTGTGGACTGAAGAATTGCTGGTTCAATTCCCCGTCAAGGGTATGTACCTCGGTTGCGGGTTTGGTCCTTGGCCGCCCTAGTCAGGGTCTTGAGGAATATTTGATGTGTCTCTCTCACATCGATGGATGTCTCTCTCTCTCTCTTTCTCTCTTTCTTTCTCTCTCTCTTTCTCTCTCTCTCAACTCCCTTTCTCCCTCACACTTTATCTAGAAATCAATGGAAAGCCCAGCCTGTGTGGCTCAGTGGTTGAGCATCAACCCATGCACCAAGAGGTTGCTGGTTCTATTCTTGGTCAGGGCACGTGCCCAGGTTGTGGGCCAAATCCCCAGTGGGGAACATGCAGAAGGTGACCAGTCGATGTTCTCTCTCATCGATGTTTCTATCTCTCTCTCCCTCTCCCTTCCTCTCTCTCTAAAAATAAATAAAGAAAAAAAAATCAAAATAAAAAATAAAAGTCAATTTAAAAATAGACTTGGGTGAGGATTATAAAAAATAAATAAAAAGTCATGTGGAGCAAAAAGGGTAGGTAATTACTATTAATTTTTTGTAATTCAATCAAAATTATACTTTTTGTCAAATTGGCAAAAAATTATATATTTTGGGCGTGCCACAGAATTTTAGTAATGAGTTTGTGTGCCATGAGATGAAGAAGTTTGAAAATTGCTATATTATCTCATTTGATCATTACAACTCTATGCATAATTTCTTAGCCCTATATTAAAAAGCAGATTCTATGCTTAGAGAAGTAATTTATTTACTCGTCGTTACTGATGAGACTATGAGATCTCAGTTCTTCTCGAAGGAAAGATTTCAATCAAGAGACAAAGTGCACCCTGGCCGGTTTGGCTCAGCGGTTAGAGCGTCGGCCTGCGGTCCAGAGAGACCTGGGTTCGGTTCCCACTAAGGGCACGTACCTCGGTTGCAGTTTGTCCCCGGCCCTGGTTGGGTCGTGTGGGTGGCAACCACTCCATGTGTCCCTTTCACATCGATATTTCTGTCTCTCTCTCTCTCCCTCCCACTCTATCTGAACAAAACATTGAGGAAAAAAAAAGAGACAAAGTGCAGCAAAGCGAGCAAGAATTTATTGACTGCAGCAAAAACACACTTAGGACAGTGAAACGAGGAAGGGCAGAGAAGAAGCAACAGGAGAGCCTGGGCGGGCTGCTCTGGCTCCCTGGAGAGTCTGAGAAAAGGGGGCCTTGGAGACAGGTTCAAGGGGTTAGCCTGGGACGAGCAGCTACTGCCCATTGATTCCCTGGTTGCAAGTCTCATGGGGTCCCTTAGAGGGAAGAGGGGGAAGGGAATGGCATGGGGCATGCTCCCCGGAGAGTGTACACTGGATTCTTTGTGTTGAGGGTATTTATCTCTCTGGCAGGTGGGAATCTTAAGGGAGATCTCAGGAGGGCTCCATAGAACATTCATCAGCTTTCTAGGTGTACTCTTTCAGGGTCAGTGGTCTCTGTTGATCGGTTGGCGCCAAGGCAGTGGGTCCTGAGGCAGTCATGGGGTCATTTGTCTGGTTTTGCTGCTTTTCTGGGCCTGGAGCTGAAATATAACTGAGACCTAGATGTTATCTTTAGGGAGGTAAAGGTCAGGAGGCCTCAACCTGGGGCGAGGTTCTTGTTTTCCCAGTTTTGCCCCTTGCCTAGGCATTGGGACTCTCTGCCCTGGTGCGTTTCTGTTCCTGGCCCATTGTCCTTGCTCTGCTCTAACTGCCTGTAACAACCTCACACCACTAGTAAATAAATGCAAGGGCTAGGATTTGTACCTAGGTTCTGTCTGGCTTTCTAGAGTCAGTCTTCTCCTGTACGTTGTGCTGCCTGGTAAAGACTGAAACACCTTGGCGCTGTGCCTGAGGGACAAATAAAGACTGGCTGAGATTTGGTTTGGTGGAGAAGATGAGGAAGAGCATTCCAGGTGGAGGGGAAGCTTTGGCCGGTTTGGCTCAGCGGTTAGTGTCAGTTCACGGACCAACAGGTCTTGGGTTCGATTCCAGTCAAGGGCGTGTACCTGGGTTGCAAGTTTGATCCCTGGGCCCAGGTAGAAGGGAAGCATGATTAGTGCTTCAAGTTGAGACTGAACAAAGACAATATAAGCTTGGTTTAGTCTTCTGTCTTAGGAACTACTTAGTAGTAGGCAGTGCCAGCCTGAGGATATTTCACTTTATTTGTAGGGATTTGCAGTAACATTTTTGGGCAGAGGAATGGCAAGGTGAAGTTGCTGTTTTGGGAAGACAGATTTAGCAGTGGTACTAGAATGTACTGGAGGTGTGAACTGGTGTCGCCAGTCAGCCCAATGCACTGAACTGTGAGGGGGTAAAATCCTAGGCATTGCTAGTTGTGAAGAGGAAGGGAAACGAGTGAGAAACCACTTAATTGGAGGAGCTGAAGAAGTGGTTTAGAGCACAGCAGTTGACATAGATCAATAAGCATTTATTAGCAGACCACATAGTTCCTTTTATTTAAGCTGTGAATTGTGTTTGAAATAAAAGCTAGGAACAGAAAATTAGTAGCCGACTTCATTCCTTCCTGGTAAGCCCTGTAGTCAGCTGATGTGCATTCTGTTAGACATAATGGAGGTAGCTGTGCTGATTACAGAGACCTGTGTGGAAATAAAAAGAGTGGGTGCATTGCAGGGCGGGAATGAAAAAAGTGCCTTTCCTTGCAGAGGCGACAAACTCAGGTTTAGGTGTGGACTGTATAAGGGGAGACTGAAGAAGATAGAATGTGTGCACCAGAAGGGGATGCCTGTCAAGGATGTTGGGGTCAGCAAAATACAGTGCCATGCTATATAAGACATGCCACTTGAGTTTTTAAAAAAACATTTAATTAGAAATAAAAAAATTCTGAAAAAAAGCAAGAGCGAGTTCAGTCTACTTCATTGCATGCATTTGATATGTTTATGAAAAGTCACATGTAAATCTGGTTATATAAATTCGAATGTGTTGCCATCACTTTAGGTAAGTATTAGAGGAAACTGCCGAGAAAGTCTTAGTGGAGCAGAGGCCTTTTGAAATGTAAGTGATCTCTGCATTGGTGTGTAACTCCATATTCCTAACCAGCTGAGGAAGGGACCCGGAGATTGTTGTGTAACTTCCTCCCTCCCCTTCTGTGTAAGAGAATTCCTTATTAGGTGAGAGTTCCTTTGGTTCTTTGTTATTAATGGTTGGGAAGTCATGATGATAACACCCTACATTTAAAATGTATATTGCAATAATTCTATCAGGTAGATGATAGGTACAAATTTTTTAAAAAGGACTTAGCACAATGTCTGCAGTAGTGTAGTCACTCAGATAATGTGTATTAGTTGAGTGAAAAATGTTGAGAAACTGAAACCATGAGTCAAGATGCGTGGGAGTGGTAACTTTTCTAGAATAATGAATTAGAGGCAAAAATAGGAGTGGAACTCAGATTCCCTGTATCAGTGCCGCCCAATAGAATACATGAGGCACGTATGTAATTTAAAATTTTCTAGTGGTCATAATCAAAGAGTAAAAAGAAGTAGGTGAAATTAATTCTAATAGTGTATTTTAATCTATTCAGAATATTAGCATTTCAACATTTAATGAATGTTAAAATTATTGAGATATATGCTTTTTGTCTTTGAAATTGGCTTATTTTTATATTTACAGCCTATCTCATTCTGGCCAACAACTTTTTAGTTAATTAATTTTTTTATTACGGATATTCCTCCTCCTCCCTCCCATTGATCCCCCTCCCCAACTACCTTCACCATACTAGTATCTGTGTCCATTGGTTATGCATGTATGCATAGAAGTCTTCTGGCTTATCTCTTCCTGCCACCCCCATCCCCCTCTCCTCTGAGGTTTGTCATTCTGTTCCCTACTTCCATGTTTCTGGATCTATTTTGTTCATTATATTCTACAAAAAAGTGAGATCACTGATATTTTGTCTTTCTCTGGTTGGCTTATTTTGCTTAGCATAATACTCTCCAGGTCCATCCATGTTGCCTCAAAGGGTAAGAGATCTTTCTTTCTTACAACTGCATGGTGTTCCATTGTGTATATGTACCACAGCTTTTTTATCCACTCACCTATTGATGGACCCTTGGGCTGTTTCCAGATCTTAGCAATTGTAAATAGTGCTGCTATGAATATAGGGATACATATATTCTTTCTGATTGGTGTTTCAGGCTTCTTAGGATATATTCCTAGAATTAGGATCACTGGATAAAATGGCAGTTAATTTTTAATTTTTTGAGGAAACACCCTATTGATTTCCATAGTGGCTGCACCAGTCTGCATTCCTACCAGCAGTGTACTAGAGTCCCCTTTTCTCCACACCCTCGCCAACACTTGATGATTTGTTGATGGCAGCCATTCTGGCATGTGTGATACCTCATAGTAGTTTTAATTTGCATCTCTATGATGATTAGTGATGTTCAACATTTTTTCATTTTTCTTGGCCACTTGTATATCCTGTTTGGAGAAGTGCTTGTTCAGGTCCTTTGCCCATTTTTTAATTGGATTGTGTGTCTTTCTTTTGTTGAGTTGTATGAGTACTCTATATATTTTGAAATTAACCCCTTATCAGATGTAGCATAGGCAGATGTGTTCTCCCATAGAGTGAGTTCCCTTTTCATTTTGATGGTTGTTTCTTTTGCTGTGCAGAAGCTTTTTAGTTTGATGTAGTCCCATTTATTATTATTTTTCTTTATTTCTTTTGCCCTAGGCGATGTATCATGAAAATTCTGCTACATGTAATATCTGAGATTTTACTTCCTACATTTTCTTCTAGGATTTTTATGGTTTTGCGAGTTACATTTAAGTTGTTTTTTCATTTTGAGTTTATTCTTGTGTATGGTGTAGTTTGGTGGTCTAGTTTCAATTTTTTTGCATGTACCCGTCTAATTTTCCCAACACCATTTATTGAAGAGACCGTCTTTACTGTATTGTATGCACTTTCCTCCTTTGTCAACTATTAATTGAGCATAATGTCTTGGGTCAATTTCTGGGTTCTCTGTTATGTTCCATTGATTTGTATGCCTGTTCTTGTGCCAGTACCAGGCTGTTTTGATTAAGATGGCTTTGCAGTATAACCTGATATTTGGACTTGTGATCCCTCCAACTTTGTTCTTCTTTTTCAAGATTACTGTGGCTATTTGGGGTAATTTTTGGTTCCATATTAACTTTTGGAGTATTTCTTCTAGATCTGTGAAATCTGCTGTTGGTATTTTGATGGGGATTGCATTGAATCTATGGATTGCTTTGGGTAGTATGGACATTTTAATAATGTCAATTCTTTCAATCCATGAACATGGTAAATGCTTGTACTTTTTCATGTCTTCCCCTATTTCTTTTTTCAATGTCCTGTAGTTTTCTGAGAACAGGTCTTTTACTTCCTTGGTTAAGTTTATTCCTAGGTATCTTGATTTTTTTGTTGCAGTAGTAAATGGGATTTTTTTTAGTTTCTCTTTCTGTGTGGTCATTATTGGTGGATAAAAATGCCAGCTAAGGAGCTGGATAGGGAGGAGGGTATCTGGGGGGGACATCTGTAACAAAAATTAATTAACAAATAAAAGAAAATGCCAGCGATTTCTGGATGTTGATTTTGTATCCTGCTACGTTGCTGAATTTATTTATTAATATAGTAGATTTTTGGTGGAGTCTTTGGTGGTTTTCTATGTACGAAATCATCTCATCTACAAATAATGAGTTTTACTTCTTCCTTTTCAATTTGGATGTCTTTTATTTTTTCTTGTCTGATTTCTATGGCTAAGATTTACAGTACTATTGAATAAGAGTGGCAGAAGCAGACATCCCTGTATTATTTCTATTCTTTAGGGAAATGATTTTAGTTTTTGCCCATTGAGTATGATGTTGGCTGTAGGTTTATCATACATGTCCTTTATTATGTTGTGGTATGATCCTTACTCCCATTTTCTCGAGAGTTTTTATCAAAAATGGGTGCTGTATTTTGTCAAATGCTTTTTCAGCATCTATTGATATGATCATATGATTTTTAACTTTTATTTTTTATATGGTGTATCACATGTATTGATTTGTAAATATTGTGCCAGCCTTGCATTTCTGGATTGAATCCCACTTTGACCAACCACCTTCGAGTGCTCAGTAGCTACACACAGCCAGTGCTGCTGTGTCGGACAGCACAGCTCTACATTTCTTTATCCTTTTTTTCTTTCTGTGACACTACACTGACACTCTTGATGTTTTCTTTTTGATATCCACAAGGGAATAGGACCAGTTCTGTATATGTTGTAATTGCATGTCATTTGGAGAAAGTTCATGAGATTAGAAATAAAAAGTCAAAATTATGTTTGCTTCTCAGATTTTGGCAATACCTAAGATAGTGGAAACCAGCATGATAGTTATTCACAAGGAAAGATGTAGGTGAGGTTAGACCATACCTAGAAAGTGTGGTGTTCAGTAAATTCAGCCTCAGTGGACAGGTGTCATTCATTACCAAAGCCTCCACCATGAAGACCAACAACTAGACTGAAAACCCCCGAAGCCATGCTTTTGCCATCTGCTGGTCTGGCTGTGCAAGTGCAGGCATTCATTTATTAGGGCTGTTATCAGTTGCTTTATAATTTGAAATATAAACTGGTTTTCTGTTTTTGTATGAAATTGTCTAAAAAGGCCTATCCCTATTTTTAAATTTTGGCCATTTGGTAACTCATAGTTGTGTTTCTCGTGATGGTTCTGCAAAATACTCTTATATTAGTGAACTTGGACAAAAAGCTGAAACAATTATCTGGAGGTAGAAATGGAATTTCTGATTTCAAATAAATGGGAATAGTCTCATCAGCACTAAAAAATATAGGTTAGTGTGCAGAGGCTTTGTTCCCCTTTGAAGATAACTTATAAAATTTTGAAAATCATGCGGTTGTTTCTGTGGGCTGTGTCCTGACTCCCACCCCACATCCAAACATGCCCCTAAACTGTTACACCTGGATGAATGGATCTTTGCTTAGTTCTATGATTGCAGTTCTAATCCTGCTATAATATAAATGGTGGGACTTTTCCTTTTATAAAAGTGATAACACATCTAAAATTCAGCCTCTGGATACCTGTGTATTTTCCTAGAGAAAGCATAAGCAGAATGAACTGCACCTAGAACAGTATCTGCTGCAGAGTAGGTGGTTATCATTTGTTGAATGTTCTACTTTATCAAAGGAAAATCAAGAGAGGAGAAGTTAATTGAGAATGACTGATGGGAATATAGTTGTGTACTCTTTCTAGTGAGCTTGTCACCAATGCACTTGGTTTTCTGCTATGTTTTGAGACTTTTTTCTTTTAATTTCAGAAAATAAAGCAGTTGGAGTGATGAAGGCGGGCCACGTATTTACAATTGAGCCAATGATTTGTGAAGGTGAGAAAAAATGATGCTGTATGTTCTTTAATTGAATTTTTGTTTACTTTAGTTGCACAGATTAGTAGTCTGCTCTGCTTACTTTTTGCTTCATTTCCATGCCTTGTCTCATCTCTGACTTGGTTGGGTGTCATGTAGAGAACTGAACATTGTAAGTGTTGGCAAGGAAGTGGTTCTTTCTTCTGCTGTCAGTAGATGGTGAAGGACTTGAATCCTGGTCCCTTTTCCTAAAGATCCTGTCAAAGGATTGTAATAATTCTTAATTTTTATTTATTGATTGTTTTAGAGAGAAGAGGGAGAGAGAGAGAGAAAGAGAGAGGGAGAGAGAGAGAAACACTGATTTGTTGTTCCACATATTTATGCGTTCGTTGGTTGCTTCTAGTATGTGCCCTGACAGGGGATCAAACCCACAACCTTTGTATATGGGGACAATGCTATAGACATCTGAGCTACCCAGCCAGGGCCTGCATTGTAATAATTATAAGCCTCCATCAAGCCTGTGTAGAAATTCTTGCTTGACATTGGGGAGGTCTTGGGGGGTGGAGAGGAGGAGGGAAAAAGTATAGCCACTTACTCTGAGGCCGGCACAGTTAAATGATTTAATTCTCCACGACTTATGAGATAGGTGCTATCTCCACAATACAGAGGAGCAAACTGATCCTCGAAGAGGTTAAGTAACTTGCCTAACGTCATTTAGCTAGTTAATGGAGCGTTTTGTCGGACTGCAGTGTCCTCAGCTGTCCTGCCTCTTCAGGGTCTGCCCTCGTGTCATCAGGTGGAGCCACGCAGCTGTTGTGGAGAAAGCACAGCACAGGCGTCCTCAGCGCTGGCAGTTTTATGTCCTCACTGTTGTTATTCCCGTGGTAGGCATGTGGCAGAGGTGATAGATGGACGCAGTGTCATCATTAGTGCTCCTCACTGAGAAGTCAGTGATGACTCGGGCTGGTTTGTGAAGCCTACACCTCTTTCTGCCAGTTCTTTGTTGGGATTAGGGGATGCAGAGTGAGGCAGTAGTAGTTGGTATGTGTCCTGGGCCCTGTATGAAAGGACATACCTCTCTGTGGATCCTTCCCATCTTCTCTATAACCTAATCTTGGGAGAGACATCTCATCGCTTCTACCAGATTCTCTTCCTTAGAAGTGAGTCTCTAAATCCAGCCCACACTCAAATGGCAGAGGGGAGCTTTGGAGGCTGTTTGGGAGGCTGCCTTCTTTTTTTCCTTATAGTTCTGTGATGAGTGGTATCAACATATTTTCTGTAACAAAACCCAGTATCTTTATTTTGGAAATACCGTCTTGATTTGATATTTGGGAAGCATAAAACATGTCAAGTTATAGCACACCTGTGCAAATTTAAATATTATCAAAGGGTTTAGCTAAAACTTAGTTGAAGGGTAAAAAGGAATCTCAATAGTGAATTTTCTAATTGGTCTTCTGTGTTTATCTAAGGATATAAGATACACAGATACACTTACCTAGAGCTTATGTAGAAAACTGAGTGATGGAATTGAGACGTGTTTCTGGTGGTTTCAGGTGGATGGCAGGATGAAACCTGGCCGGATGGTTGGACTGCGGTGACGAGAGACGGGAAGCGGTCTGCTCAGTTCGAGCACACGCTGCTCGTCACGGACACTGGCTGTGAAATCTTAACCCGGCGACTGGATAGTGAGCGGCCTCACTTCATGTCCCAGTTTTAATTTCCCCGAGATGGCCCATCTCAGTAACACCTGGATGTACTATGCTTTTTATTGAGAGTGCAGAATGGAAGAGGCAGTTTTTTATTACTTGTTTTGTTTTGACTATAGATAAGGAAGGACTGCAGCATTTGACCTGTGTCCTCAAGAACTTGTCTTGGGTCTGGAAAAGCCAAGAAAAATAAAGGAAACATTTTCAACTCCTTTCACTGCTCCCCTGTGCCCCCTCCCCAGATCTCTGCACCCCTGCTTTCTCGTTTGCCCTTTGAGCACTTTTACTTAAACTTGCTTCTAGTTGCTTTTATCACTGCCACCACTGGGCCAGCGAGAGCCAGCTGCTTTCCAGTAGATGAATGTGGAAGGTGAGAATCCTTGGAACTTCAGCAACATATGTTGCTTCGGATTTTTTTTATTATATAGGAGATATATATGTATACCTTTTAAATTCCATATATGTAATTACGGAACACTATGTGCCCGGGGTTTGTGTTGATTCTGCTCTGATGGGGTTATATGCTGTCATACGTGGACCCATAGTGTGCAGCGATTTAATTCCCGCTTGGGAATTGGCCTTCCTCCTCCCCCCTGCTAATTATTTACCTTGTAGTTGTGTGTAAGGAAGCACTCAGACTCTCAGTGAATGGATGTGGCAAAATTCACTTTGCAAAAAGGTTAATAGGTTTTTTTAAAATCTAGTTTATGGTAAAAATAGCCATACTCCAAATGGTGGCCGACTGCTGCAGAGCCTGGGGTTTGTAATACATTGCTAGTTCAGACCTCTGGTCAAAATGGGAGGGAAGACGTTCCCTTTTGTCCACTCTGTTTTATTTCGAGGGCACACCTTGGAGATGGTCAGAGAAGGGTGGAGGTTGCCCTGCAGAGGTGATGGGAAAGCCAGTTCTGAATCTCTCCAGCAGCGAGCAGAGGAAGTCACGTGAGATGCTGGATCCTAACATGTAGTCACCCTGGTTGTGATGAGAAGGAGGAACCTCTTTGGGGATGGGACTGTTTCCTCGCAGAAGGGACACAGCTGTCCTTGGGGTGCTGAACACACTTCACCTTTACATTGCTGGGAACCTCATTAGAACCTCAGCTGCCCAGTATCCATGTTCCTTTCAGTAGTTCAGTCCGATGGGAGTGTATCCAGTGAAGGCAGATCAGATCAGAGTCATTGTCATTAAAGGGTGCTTGAATCACTGGGTTTCAGGTGACTTTCTTGTAAGAGAACTTGATACCACTGACATGTTATACTTGTACGAGAACATCCTTCCCAGAGTGCCTCAGACCTTATTGCTTTAAAAGAATTATGATAATGTTTTCATTTTATTATTTTAATGATTTAGTCAAGTGAGCGAATCTGGTGTAGACTTTCGGGGGTATGTGTGTGAAGTTTTTTATCAAACTGTAATATTTGTGAATGGAATGCCTTGCAATATGAATGTTAATATAATGTGTAAAGGGAGATTAAAAAGTTTGAGTGACTATCCCGCCATGTAGTCATTAACTTTGCTGGGATTTCAGAAGGAAATGGTGGGAATAGGGTGGCTGATTTCATAATAAATTCCCAACCGTTTGAATAAAAATACTTTTTCAAGTTTAATGGCCATACAGAAATGTCAGTACTGTGTTTAGTTCAACAGTCTACCAGCAGCATCTGAGGTGCAGCCATGTTTTTGAGAGCTATTAAGACAGAGAATGCTAAATATTTAGGGGAGCATTTTATGTACTGATAGTGGAATTAAGTGTGGGCTGATTCAATATCTATCTTTACAAAATAAGCTCCAGGAAAAAAATCGTGGTGGGATAGTTCTTTTGTTAAAAGATAAAACACCATACTGGTGGTGATGCTTTTCTCAGTTTGGGAGATTTTAAAACAATATGGGCTCTATTCTAATTGTATATATCTAATTATAGATGTTTATTAGATTTAGATAAGAAAACATCTAGTTTCATCATTCTGCCAACTTCTCAAAATGAGCCACTGTGTTAACTTTTTATTTTTTGTATAACTTTTAAAATCATCTCTGGCCCCCGCTGCCCCCCAATCCTCCATGACCCTTTGGAATTATAATTTAGAAGGGAAACATATTAGCCTTTTAATTTCATTTTCTATCTTTTGCTGATAAAATGGGTTAAGGTTCATTAAAACTCATTTACCAACACGTTTGTACCACTTGCCATTCACATGTCTAAGTTAATGGGAAGAGGAGGTTTAGGGATTTGCCACCTTAGCTTGATTCTTCTGTTTGTTCTATAATCACTTCTGGTCTTTCATTGGGTTTGGTTAAAATTGAGAGCAGGATCCTCCACTTTGCTAGGGCCCCAAATACATCCTCCCGGTATCAGTAACCTGGCTATTTTGATTTTTTTACTTCAAAAATTTTATTTTGAAAATTTTTTAAGTTTACAGAAAAGAAGAAAGTATAGTACCATGAAATAATCATATATCCTTTCCTTGTATTCAACAGTTGTTATTTTGCCATAGTCTCTGTAAGCACACTTTTCCCTTGAAAAAAGTGGCATCTACTTCCCATTGCTATGCCTGTTCCATGACCGTTCCACCATGTCTCTTAAAACACAAGGACATTTCCTTCATTATACAGTTTCCACACCCAGGCAATTGAGCATTGATGCAGAATTGTTTAATACAGCAATTTTCAACCCTTTTAAACGAATTACTAAAATTCTGCGACACACCAACAGATATATTTTTTGCTGATCTGACCCCCTCCTTCCCACCCAAAATATGTATAATTTTGATTCATTCATACCAGACGGCTATTGTATTAGAGGTTGTCATTTTTTTATTTGACAATTAAGGGAAAAGAGGTCAGTGCCCCTGGCTAAATAGGTATTGCATGTTTTAAAAATTCTTGCGGCACACCACTTGAAAATTGCTGGTCTAATGTATCGTACATATTCAAGCTTGAGTCTCAATTTCTCCCAAAATGTTCTTTAAAGCTTTTCTTTTTTTAAAATCTAGGATCCAAACCCGTGGCAATCAGTTGTCATATATCTGTAGTCTTTAGAGCGGTCCCTCCCCACCCCCCTTTTTTAAAAATGAAATTGACACTTGAAAAAGGCCAGGTAGCTTGTAGAATTATGTATTTCTCGCTTGAGTGGGTTCAGGATAAACATTTTGGCAGAAGTCACCATAATGGCATGTGGTAAGACCCCTTCATTGCATCACATCTCGTCAGGAGGCACATGATGTTATTCTCACATTATTGCCAACAAGTTTGTCACTGGGTTTCTGTCAGATCTTTCTATTTTAAGAATATTTTTCTTGAGCAAAAAAATCTGGGACGAGATATTTGGAGACCATTTGGATATCCTGTGCACTCAATGATTTTAGTGTTTATTGATTATGCTTGTTAGAATCCATTATTTTATTACATTGGTTGCTGCAAATTGGGACTTTCTAAGTCTAGCATTTCATCTGCATTGTTGGCTGGCACTCATACAAAGAAGCACTTTTATTCCTCCCTCTTACCCACTTTTTTTTTTTAATCCTCACCTGAGGATATTTTTCCATTGATTTTTTTTTTTTAAGATAGAGTAGGAGGAAGGGAGGGAGAGCGCGAAACATTGATGTGACAGGCACATCGGGTTGTCCTCTGCATGACCCCAACCACTCTGGTTTGAGGGCCGATGCTCAAACCGCTGAGACAAATTGGCCAGGGCCCCATTTTTTTTTTGAGTATTAATGTGGGTTCATTGATTCTTTCTAAATATTCTATTTAAATTACTGTTGTTGTTCTGAATTTGGTCAACAAGAACACCTTTAAGCTTATTCATAGGTTATTTTGACCTGTGCCTATCAATCTTTGAGCACTTTCTTGCTTTTTGCTATAGCAAGATATTCTGGGTTTATCATTACACTGCCTGTCCCAGATTGGTGGTAATTGGCTATTTCTTCAAGGAGAAGCCTACATTCTTTTCTTGGGGAATGGTATTTGGAAATCACGATCTAGGTGCTACCGGGCTGCCATTGTTTCTGGGCCCTTTCAGGGAACAGAACCAGAAAATGCATTGTTTATACATCATGGGTTCCTTCGGATACTTTCATTTCAAATCTAACATTCATCTTCCTCACCCCCGTTCCCTTCCGTCTGTATCTTCCTTCTCTGATGGTGAGAACTTGGGTTTTGAACAACTCCAATATTTACTATTTGGTTGATTCTATAAGATGTAAAATTATTTCAGAGTTACTACATGAAAATCACTACCAAAATAAAGTTATTAAGTGCAAAATTTGTGATTCTTTTTATTCTTGGAACATTATATCACTAAAGGTGTGCAGAGTATTGGTTTAAAAGTTATTTGAGGTAATCTGATCCTACTGTGTGCTAAATCTCATAAACTGAGCTACTTTTAACAGTGCAGTGCATCTTGGGGGAAAAGGCACAGTAGGGCTGGGGAAGATATTTTAGTCGTCTGGGAGTTAGAAATACTGGACGTTTGAGACCGTGTGATGAGATTCTATCTGTATTTGATGGTGTTTGACTTCTACCATGCTCTCCAGGTACAAGAGGAGTACATTATACCACTTGTGGATGTGTGGCTCATTTTCCAATGTAGTAGAGGAAAAAATCACCTGGACATCAGTGTTTTAGGAACAAATTGTTTCACATTGTAGGCTGCGTTATGCTAATATTCTAAAAGTTAATGTGTTGAGCTTCATTTTACAAATGGACATCTAAGGAAAGGGCAGCACGTGCTCCACGCGTGGACATTCTCGGCCTCGGTGTGTGAACCTGAGGGACTAGCAGCCTTTGCGGGCAGCCTCCTCCCTTACCTGTTCTTTTTGGTGCCAAGTATGACTGAAAAATCATGGTTTGCACTGGGTTATTTTGCAGAAGAGCAAAACTAAGAGGGCATTGGCTACCTGTCATCTGCTGCCTTTCATTTTGGAGACTGGGTAAGCAACAGCTATCTGTATGGCATTTCTGTGGCTACATTAAATGTCAACACTGGTATATTTTACTAAAATGTGCCAAAAAGTCAGGATGTGGAGCTCTAGGAAAGGGCTTCCTGGAAAGATTTCATTTATCAGTAATGTGTTTGTTATAGTTCAAAGTATTTTAGTAATTGTCCTCTGGACATCCGGGCTCTTTACTATTGTAAAGCTTTTTGTAGAGTAATTGCTCCAGTCTCCTGTGTGATTAGCCCTTTTACTGCTATTACTCCCGCCTTCTCATCCCACTCCCAACAACAGATGCATGCCAGTCCTTACCAAAACGTGGAGACACGTTTGCCCCATGGTATCATAAGAGCACAAGACCACCGATCAGGACACCAGGGCTCTGACTTCTCTGGGTCTTTCACGTTGCATGGCTGGGACACGTCACCATACTTGATCTTTTTGTGGGATGATACCGCAGCTTAGCACCTGTTTTATGTTCTATATACAGTGTGATTATAAAGCAAATTTACTTTAGTTGCGTCAGGGGTCAACAGAAAATTCAGGCTAGAATAAAAAAAAATTTATCGGTATAGCCCTGGCTGGTTTGGCTCAGTGGTTGGAATGTCAGCCTGCGGTCTAGAGACCCGGGTTCGGTTCCCACTAAGGGCATGTACCTTGGTTGCAGTTTGTCCCCGGCCCTGGTTGGGTCGTGCGGGTGGTGGCCACTTGGTGTGTCCCTTTCACGTTGATGTTTCTCTCTCTCTCCCTCCCACTCTATCTGAAACAAAAATGGAAAAATGTCAAGTAAGGATTAAAAAAAAAATTTATCAGTATGTATGAGCCCTAGATGATTCTGAGGAAACACATTAGCCAAGGATAAAAACAGTATGAAAATGTAGATTTGAGAGAGATCAACAAATTTAATCCAATTTTTCACTGTTTCACCTTAACACAGCTTGATTATTTTTAGTATTTTAGTCCTTGTCTAAACGAGGTCATTCTCTGGGTGAGCACTTTCTTGGAAGGAGCTTGTGCATGTTTACATCTCAAGGAGTTCCATTGTGGTGTCCTGCTTGATAAAAAGCAGTGTGTGCAAAAGCTCATCCCAACTGCTTTGTTCCCATAAAGAAAAGTTCCACTGGAAGAATTTGGTCTAGTGGAGGACTTAGTATATATATCCCTGTTCACTTTGTAGTTGTTTGGCATAATTCTATGCATTTATCATCTAAACTTTAAATATATTTGATAAATGTTTCCCAAATGTGCTTGTGGTGTACTTTTTTTTTCTAAAGGTATTTGCTGACATAGAATCTAATCGTGCATGTTAATTGAAACAAAATTGTCTGAGTCCAAAGTTGGTCTTTTTCCTGGGTCAGCAAAATGTCTCTAGGCCCGAAGTTACTTTTGGACTTTGAACGTCAGCCTACTTGCAAGCAGAAAATGTTCTGAAGTACTCTGTGCATGTAAAATATGCCCCCCTCCCCCCAGTCAGCAAAACATTTTGGGAAACATTTGTATCCAAAATGGATAAATGGAAGTAACATTATGTGTATGTGTTGGAGTCATTTTTGTTTGGTGTTTCACGTACGTTAACCAGCTCCACAGGGCAGAATTGTGGACATAATGCAGTTTTTTCCTCACCTCTATTCCA